AGCCCCCCCCCCCCCCCCCCCCACAGTGCAGCTCACCAAGACAGTGAAACTCTAGCACTGTTTTATAGCAACAAGCAGAGGTCCTTTAGAATCCCACAGAGAAGACTCCTGACTATTACAGGGAGTTTGGTATTGCTTTTTGAGAGAAATCTCGATTAAGATAAAAGGTAGCTCTAAGTCGGGGAGCTTGGAATGCGTTGAGTTACTTGGAAACCATACACACTGGAAACATGCAGTAGAGAGAGACAGGAAGGGAACTTAAAACCACACCGTCTGACCAGATGTCTGCTACAGCACATTTTCTTTCTGTTCCCATGAGCACACCATGCATGCTGATTATTTAGGCTGCATGGGCTTTCCCAACAGCCCCCGCTCCCCCTTTTACATGCTGTAATTTCACCTACCACTTCAGGCTCCCCTGGAGGCCCTCTGCAAGACCTTGGCTCACTGTTCAGGCCCACCCTGAACTGCCCCTCCAATAAACCCATGTAGCATTTATTATCTGTATCCCAATTTACTGTTTATTGTTCTCTAATTGTTTCATGAGTCTTTTCTCTCCAACCAAATTATAAGCTGCATGAGGGCAAGGAATATGTGTCATGCGTCTTTGGGATCTGCCTCAGAGTGTAGCACAAGGTAGGTACGACGTAGGCCCCTAGTAACACTTGCCTTGGATCGCTCAGAACCCCAAATACCGTGAGCACTTCCTATATAACTTCATATACGTAGCTCCCATGTCGCCAACATTATTCTCTTTTTGAACATCTGTGGGGACAGATTCCATTGAGAGGCCTGTGTTTGATGTTTTAGGATGCTGAGTCATACCAGAACATTGTGGACCGCAATGAGGACAAGAGCCCTCAGAACCCAATTCAGGAAATCCTGGAGAACTACAGAAAGCTGCTCTCACTGGGTAAGCGCCCGCTTCCTTCAGCCACTTTCAATCCCATCACTGGAGCCTTTGCTAGTTTCAATTCGTTTGAGTCTACACCTAGTATATTTAGACCTTGAGGATAACAAGAAGTCTTTGGTGAACTTGCCCATCTGTGGAGAAATGAGATTTGATTATTAAAGAAACCTGTCTAGCTTTGATTGAAGAATATATTAGATAGACTGGGGCAGTTTTTCTATATGATCCCAGGCCCCATGTGGACTCCTTCAGAAGCCATGTCGCCTAAACTGACAGTAGGCTGTTGCTGCCAAAACCCGCAAATCTGAGGGATCTGTAGAGTTATCGAGTAGCTAGAGAAACAGCATCACCGAGAAGCAGGGGCGGGGGAATATAGTGTCACATGCCTGAAATCACAGCACCCTGGTACTGAATCTGAGCATCACCCAGGGGCCAGCCTTGGCTACCTACATAGTGGGACCCTCTAAAAAAGAACAGAGTCTCTCAAAAAAGTGATCAAAAGGTAGAGACTACAAGAGGGTACTGAATTCATGCACAGAGGGGGTGTTCGTAAGGTTTTCTAGGTGCAAGTACATTTAAGGGAGTCAAAATGTCAAGTACACCAGATTTGAAAATGAATATAAAGAAAATGCAAGGCATTCAAAGATTTGGATATGCGATAGTTCCGATTCGCTGCGGGTGGTTGGGGGAAAGGCTCAGTTTATGACGAGGAGTCTGAGTCTTTTAACACGAATTGAAGCCGCCCTTTTTGCTCTTGTAACCAGGAGTACAGCTCGCCGAAGATGACCGACACTCTCACATGACACAAGGCCACTCTTCAAGATCCAAGAGAAGCGCCTACCCGAGCACCAGCCGAGGTAAGTGACAAGCCACACTCCACACTCTCAAACACCACAGACACACAAGAGTCCTGAGCTCAGGGACGAAGGAAGAATTACATCCGGGGGTTTGTTTCCAGGCCTGAAACCCATGCCTGAAGGCAAGAAGCCAGCGCACCGACGCGGGATCTGCGAGGAGGAATCTTCTCACGGCGTGATCATGGAAAAGTTCATCAAGGATGTGTCCCGCAGCTCCAAATCCGGAAGAGCCAGGGAGCCGAACGAGCGTCCTCCT